CCGGAGAAGTGTTCTAACGACGGGAACCGCGCGCTATCGTCTCATCCCCTTTATTTGCATCGTCTTTGGATGGTTTTGGCAATAATTCTGTAAACTTTGGTTTTGGTCGGGGATTCTCGTACACTTCTGACGTTGTTATGATCGGATAACAACACATGTTACAACGACGGGAAGCGGGTGGAAGCGGCCTCCGTCCACTAGGCATTCTGTATTGTGTTCACTGTTGACTGATAGGCTTGTTCGCGTTCAAAATATATTAAATTATAAATCAAATTGACTTTTTCTCATTATGTGTCATTGCGAAATATTTCCTGAAAATGGGCTCAAACAACGGGACCCGCATAAATGCGAACGCGCTGTCGAACCCCGTTGTGGCGGCTCACGCGCGCCAAACGAACCCCGTCGCGAAAAGGATAAGCGAATGGTTGATATTTGTTTCGGAAAATTGAATGAATGATATCCATTTTCTTCAGAATTGGCACAATTTATTACACAGCAAGTAATTCCCATAGCTGCTTTTATCTCGAATGTATAGTTATTATGAAATTTTATTTCAATTCTGACGTTTATAAAATGTATTGTCAAATTCAAACAATTTTGAATGAAAAAGCGCCGGACGACTATGGTGCTCTTGTCACAATGCAAGGTGTGTAACTTAATAAATCTAAACATTCAAAAACCCTAACCGTTGTCATTTCTGTGTCCGAACTCTTATCAAACTGATAACATCCAGTGACTCTACTACTGACGAGGTATGTTAGTGTGCGCAACTAGGAGTAACCTTTTCCCTCACATAGGCTTGCGGTGAGAAATTCAATGACATTGAAAACTGAAAAGCTTCAAGACATATTATATATACGACTTCGCTATTGAAATAATCTCTTTTCATGTTGAAAACGGGAACAGAACCGGTCCCGAAACGTCCAAAGATAAGTGAAAATTTGATATATTTTTTCTATATACCTTTATTTATCTTCTCCAAAAATTTTTTCAATACAAATTGTCACCGACAAGCTAGTGAATTTTTCTTTTAGGCTCTCTGATATTAAAATTCTTCAAACGCAGTGACATTTTGGGGCAAATCATCTGATTTGTCCTTACTACACGTATATTGAAATAATATTCATATTTTTATTTTATAGAAACGAGGAGAGAAAATCCCAAAAAATTTGAAATAATGAATGTACCACCTCCTCGATTAACCTACAGACAGTATTTATATTAAACAGGTTGATCAATTTTTTCCGGTAAAGTTAGGGATATAGGTCTTCTAGAAATATTGAAGTCATACTAGTTTGTACCACAGTTTAGAGAATTTATTATCTAAACTGTGTTTTTACCTACCCTTATGAGTATATATATGGTTGAGAGGAAGTTACAGAGCGTTGAGGTTCATCAGGCCGATAGGTACATTTTTTACGCGACATCTCAGTTTTCATATGCCAAAATATATTTTTTTCTGTGACGGGAAAAAAGTTTGGCATTTCATCTCTGTTGGCAGGTTATAAAATGTCACTTTTCATAAATTACTTTTTTCCCGTGGGCAAAAACTGAGTATTTTTTTCCCGGATATATATCACATATTTATACTCTGTTAATGACTTTTGTTGGGCTATAGTTCCGAAAAATGAGTCAATAATACCGTCTCCGAGAAAGAACAGCAAGTCCTTTTATCTTCCATTCGACTTCGCGGTTTCGTGTATGACTAAACAACTACTGAATTCGCAATTTTTCAAAATCAAATCACAGAATTGAACTGACAGAAGTGACATCAGATATTTGATTACTTCAAAATAATGATAAAGATGTCTATAAAACGCAGGTGTCCCTACTGTTAAAAACTTGAAATTTCACGTCGATAATTTTCAGATTTCGAAATAATGTAATATCTTCTCAATATTGATTCGTCCTTCCTTCTGTCACAGAAAAAAATAGTGTATTATACACGGGAAAAATATTAGATTTTAGCTCACGGTTTTTTGTCTCCCTCCGCTACGCGTCGGGAGACAACACAACCTGGAGCTAAAATCTACTACTTTTTTCCCTTGTATAATAAATAACTATTTCTCTTTCAAACTTCTCACATATGATTATGGAAAAGGATCATATACCAGGTGAGTCAATAGTGTGTTCTCCTTCGATATTAGCCAAACCGTCAGATATATAGGAAAAAATCAAATACAACAGGTATATGGTTTCATGAGAACTATCACCTAAAATTTTGTTCATACATATAGGGTGTTCGAATTCCAAGATATCGCGCAGATGATGTTTTTTTTTTAAATGGGACATCCTGTATATTATCGCGTTTTTAGGTTCTCCCTGGAGAGCCGATTCCATCAATGCATCACACTCGGGGTCCAGCAGGGATTATTACAGAGATATAGGGTGTTCAAAAACAAAAAAAAAATCAATTTAAGAATTTTTTTGCGTCGAAACTATTATTATCGATCAGAACGGCTCACATGTCCCTTTATAAACTTTTGATTTACTATCTACTGGCATTGAATTGGAAATAAATACAGGGTGGTTCAAGATTCAGAATTCTGATCACCCTGTATCTGTAATAATGGTGGGAGTCTTTTTTGAAATTTTAGAAACATGTCGTGTGTTGATATTTTGCTTTCGCTTATTTTGGACGTTCGGGATATCTTTGGGAACTTGCACCAAGAATTTCTCGTTTGTGATACCCTCGGGATGACTTGAAGAACTCACAATAAGAATTTTTGATTCAGATTACGTTCGGGTCAACTGAACGAACTCGCAGTGAGATATCTCGTTTACGTTACATACCTGATAGCTTCAGAAACTCGCAACAAGAATTTCTTGTCCAGGTTACGTTCCAACTAGCTTAAGGAACCCGCAGTAAGAATTTCTGATTCAGGTTAATGTCGTAATAACTTTGGGAATTCGTTGTGGAAATGAAATTTTTTCGAAAGAAACTTGCTCTGAATCGTTGGTGGATAAATTCCAAATTGGATGTGTATAATTATGTATAATTTGGGTCGGCGCCATGTGGTAAAAAGTTCGTTGTTGAAACCTTAGATCATTGAGGTTGCAACCTAGCAACAAGTTGCAACACTGGAAAACACATGAGAATATACTGGAAACAAGATGTGCACATCTAATGCATCTAATAGGCACATGGGAAAGATGGTCACGTGACGAATTATCGTTCCAACTGAATCTAGGGTCCCTTGATGGAAATTGACCCTAACTGAATCTAATAGATGGCAACAACATCCGGAAATATACAAGGTTGGTAGAAATAATCATCATTTTTAGCAACCTTGGGAAATATATTTGTTTTATTTGAAGTGGGTGGAGTTCTGGAGTTTATTTTATCTAGAGTCACTGGATGGTATTGTCTGATAAGAGTTCGGGCACAGCTGAACTTTTGTCCTTTTCTATTTTCTATAATACAATGATGGTTTAAGTGAATAAAAGAATAAGACATATATTCTGCTCTTTGTCTTTTCAATTTCCCTAGTAGCGCCTGATTGTCAGATACGATTTTACAGGTTATATTTTCTGTCAAACCAATCATAGCCGTAGATGGACCATGGGTATAGGGTACAAACACCCACTTCAATTTATACACTTCTAGCAAAACAACTGTTATATAAATGAGAAGAATCCATGTAAGAACATTTTAATATTAGAAAATATACACATATGGATAAACTTATAGCTATAATTCCTTATTGTATGTGAAACTGTACTCCAATGATGAGTATAAAACATGAAGTTATTTATATTAAATTAAAGGTATAGGTATTCTCAATATACAGTACATAAGTGCTTTCAAGTGAAGTATTCCTGAGACAGTTATGAGAAATAAAGTCTAAATAAGCTTTTGTATCCGGAAATGCTTCATTTCGGAGATACAGGGTGCTGAAATACAAAGAACAAATCATTTTTCGATATACATTTGATAGGAAAAAAGTAGTTTATTTTGACGAGACCTCTACCAAATAATTGGTTTTGTAAAGTTCTCAGCAACTCCACTTAGCGCCCTAGGAGCTAAGTAACATTGATCGATATAGAAAATATCTCCAAAACGATGACGTCCAGTGTGATTAAGGCCCTTATAATAATTCCCTTGATACATAAATAAAATATAACTATTCACTTTTCACTGTTAAATTTTGAAATTGGTCGACACCAAAAACGCCATTCAATAATATATCACTCTGTAGTTTACTTGCTTTTCTTAGTTTCGCTTTCAAATTCTCAATTTCATTATGTAATTTTGCGATCATTTCCTCTTTTCCATGATTACTTTGTTTTGTATTTTGTGTGATGATAATAATGGAATTTTGTTCTCGAAATCGCCTGCTTTGTAAAATTGATGGAACAGCAGATTCTCACAGACAGATTTTGAAATCTTCTGTTTGAAAATGGACCTGAAATATAGTTTCATTCTAATCAGATGCTGTTATAAAAAGTGAATTTCGATGAGTACCTCACAAATTTCGCTCGTCTTCAAATTGATTTTGCACCCAGGCCATTTCATATCTTCCTTCCATAAGCTAATGGTTGATATTTGTTTCGGAAAATTGAATAAATGATATCCATTTTCTTCAGAATTGGCACAATTTATTACACAGCAAGTAATTCCCATAGCTGCTTTTATCTCGAAATCGAATGTATATGAAATTTTATTTCAATTCTGACGTTTATAAAATGTATTGTCAAATTCAAACAATTTTGAATAAAAAAGCGCGGGACGACTATGGTGCTCTTGTCACAATGCAAGGTGTGTAACTTAATAAATCTAAACATTCAAAAACCCTAACCGTTGTCATTTCTGTAGAACCATATACGTCCGAACTCTTATCAAACTAATAACATCCAGTGACTCTAATTTTATCGATCCGCACTACTGAAATAAATAGAATTGAGAGAAATTTTCTTCTGCTATGATTTGGAGATTTCAGGTTATTTTGAATTTTGAAAAACTAGTTCAGGTGGAAACGTCATCAGTCATCAGTTCTACCAACCTTGGGAAACGTAGATGGACGTGCCATCTACATTTCGTTTCCAAAACCTTCTTGAAAAATCTTTCCAATTTTTAGGAAGTGCGCATCTCTGGATAATATCCACCTTTGGTGTTGGGCAGTGTCGGCATAATATGGTCATTATCACAGATAAGGTGGCTATATCAGCTATAATAATTGACCTGTGGACTCTGTGGTCATTATGGTCGGCAGACGTCGGCAGTGTGTGGCAGTGTCATGGTCGGCACTCGGCACTCTCGGCAGCCGCAACTGTAACCTTCAACCAAAAACTTCACTTCATGACTTCCTTCAACCTATTCAAAATTTGATAAAAAATATCCTTGTCATAACATCATTTTCATACATATCCTTATCCTTACCAAGAAGTAAGAAAGTACCTTATCTTTTTGGATAAATTTGAATCAATCTATAAGTAATCTATGATAAGATTGATAAGAAGTAAAAACTCAAGATCGATAAGTGATTTGATTTGCTTATTCTATAGTCATATAAAAAAGTAGGCGAGGGTGAAAATATTCCATTATATATAAAAATGTTTTCAAAGATAGTGAGAAATGGAAACAATCGCCCTTTCATCAATTCTTGTAGGGGTTGGTTCTCTACGACTTCTCATGACCATGAAAAACATAGGTATAGTAGACAAATTCATTATTATCCTGTCATACAGCTATGAAAGTAATATTTTTAAATGTTGAAGCTGCAAGTTATTGATTGTTGGTGGTGGAACTGGTGGATGTGCAGTGGCTGCAAAATTTTCAAAAGTAATGAAGAAGCAGGAACTTATAGTGCTAGAACCTTCAGACTATCACTATTATCAACCTCTTTTTACTCTCATTGGGGCAGGAGTTGGGACACTTGAGGGATCTAGAAAAAAAACAAGGGATGTGTTACCTGATAATTGTATCTGGATACAAGACAAAGCAGATGGATTTGATCCAAAATCTAATATAGTGAAGACCAAAAAAGGGAACATAATCAAATATGATTACTTACTCATCTCTGTTGGCATTGAACCTCAGTTTGAAGTGGTAAGATATTGATTTCCTTCAAGTATGTTCATTGGCTATAGGGAGGGCTATGCTATGGATTTCACAAAATAAATAAGTTATCCAGTGGTCATATAATTTCCTTGCACTTTTTAATTTAAATATCATTTTGATGATTTTGATTTCCTTCAAGTATGTTCATTGACTATAGGGAGGGCTTTGAATTCCACAAAATAAATAAGTTATCCAGTGGTCATCTACTTGCCTGTGCTTTTTAGTTGAAATATCAAATAATTCTCAACAAATTAGTTCTTCCAAACTTGTATTGTACTATTTCTGATATACTAAGACTGATTCAATTCCCTGTTGAGGATCAATTTCTGTGACGAACTCAATGTTTTAGGAACATTTTCATCAAACAAAATTTTTGCAAAATTACAAGTGAAATTAAGGAATTTCAGCACATTTCCGAAAAACACATCTGAAACAATAATTTAGTTTTCCATCAAAATTTTTCATAAAACTTGACCCTCAGGCACCTACATCAGTTCTAAATAGTCTATATAATTTCAAAATAAGACTTCAAAATTGTCCAACCCTGTACAAACGAAAATCAGCATAGTCATCCAAATACAAAACTCACACCAAAATAAGTCTCATTATGGAATCCATGTAAAAGTATCAACAGCTGCACCAAATATAGTCCAACCAACCAGAAGTCCTGAGACCTCACCTGAGATATGACTTGACAGTACTTTTAAATTTATACCATGATACATACCTACCACCTGCTAGCAAGGAGATTCTATTTTTGAATTGACAATGAGTTAATGAGCCCACTGGGCTCACATTCTAGGCTCAATATTTTAGAATCCTGGACTGTAAAAAATAATGGAAATCCTGGTAGGTATATGATGATGGTATGCACATTATATCCCTTTGTTTTCAGGAATTGTTTTCAATCATTATAATCACCATTTTAAACTTCAATGTGATGATATATGAATGAACACTAAACAAAACTGATATTTAGGGTTGCCACCTTTAGAAACCTGTCGACCCGGAGATTGTGATATATCTGGTTCAAGATTAACTGCTTCCAAATTGAAAATATATTTTTTTTTGCCATGTATATGGACCGAGCGCACATTATGTCTGTTTAAATTAATTCAAGAAAAAAAAATGGCTTGATGCCCCAGACCTTTGAAATTTTATACCTATACTTAAAAAAGTGAGTACACGGAAGATTATGAAATAAAATAATCAAAAAACAAATCACAAGAAATAAGGAAAACATACACTACACTGTTTTACCACTAACCAAACCGATTTTTTAACGAAGATGCTAACATAGTTAGCGAAACACATGTCGAGGCGCTAAAAAATCGGTTTGGTTAGTGGTGAAACAGTGTAGTGTATTATCGTGCCAAAGGTTCCAGTCTTCGATATATAAGGAAAACATATTATGGAAACAAAATAACAATTCGATCATAAATAGACGAAATTGAAAACAATTCATAGAAAAATAAAATATCAGTCTCATATATACAAAAATAAAATAAATTAATCTTTGAATTTGAATTAATATTTTTTTGTTCGGTTTTAGCCAAATAGTCGTTGAACTGTGCACAAGACATATTTAAATGTAATTTCGTGCATAATTCTGCCTTATATATCCTTTCATACGATTTCTTCTCCACAAAATGAACCAAACCCAGCAAAATAATTGCAACTGTTGCCAAGTTTCCTACGATGAATACCTACTTTTGAATATATTTATGATTTTTTCGTACCCGGACTGGCCCGGAGAATTAGGTGCTCCACCCGGAGCCCGCAGGAGCCCTACTGAAACCCGGAGACTCTGGGTCAAACCCTAATAGGTGGCAACCCTACTGATATTTGAACTAGAGAAACAGAGAAACTTGCTTATGCACAAATAAAAAGTGTACAATATGAGATGTCTTGAGTTTGCTTTGTTCAAATTAATAAAATATTGCACTGCTAGTGCCAATTTCATTTTTCTACTGCTATGACAGGCACCGGAACTTCAAAGTACTAAGGGGGGCAGCATATATTATACAGGGTGTTAGTGAATAACTGCAACCTCCAGAGCAAAAAATTTCATTTTTTCATTTGTCCTATCTTGCTTTGTTCTTGGGATAGTCCATAGGATAAGTAATTTTTTGCAGTTTTACTAGCAGTTTTATGAGGTAATTTGCCTTACTGCAACAAAATTGGAATTATAAAGGTCACTCCCACTGCAAAAAAGCTTGAGTGCAATTTGGTAAGATGGTTTTTTCAATTCCTTCACTCAAAGACTCAAAATTTCCAAAGAATAGATATTTTTCTGACAATGCAATTTTGAGAAAAATTACATGATTGCCATCAAAGATTTGTTTGCAATTTTGCTTGTCATGTTAGGTTCCGTTTTGTCCAAGGTTTTTCCACTAGAAAAGTTAGGGCAACTTTTTTTGCTGTCATAATGACAAAATCACAACTGAATTTTTTTTACATGAATTGAAAATTGTTATTGAACATTTTTATAATTTTGGGAACAGTCATAGTCCCCAACTTTATGGATATCAAAAAAACATTAACACTAACACAACATCAACATTAACACTAACAAAACAGCACTATGTTACCTGACCAAGGCTTTTGACTGTGTATCACATGCCATACTCATTGAAAAATAGAGTCACTATGGATTTAGAGGCAAAATGTTCCAGATATTCCATGAGCTCCATGTTGATAGCTCTCTCCATGATCTTTGAAATAATAGATAACAGTGCGATCGGTCTGTAGTTGCTAGGTATGGTCTTTTTGCCTTTTTTTGGAACTGGTTGTGCTCTTACGATTTTCCAGTTGGACGGGAATATCCCCAATTTGTAAGAGTAGTTGAACAACTTGCAGAAAACAGGTGTTAGTTCGGGAGCACATTTCTTGAGAACAATCGGTAGGATTCCGTCGGAGCCACAAGCTTTGTTGGTGTTGAGACCCAATAAAATCTTCCTTATAGTACGTTGGCGAAAGGTGATCTCCGGCATATGACTGTCAATTGGCGTTATGTTTGGAGGTTGTTTTCCCGATGAATGCAGAGTGGAATTTACAGCAAATAATTGCGCAAAAATGTTGGCTTTCTCCTGGGCAGTTGTGGCTAGTGTTCCATCTTCCTTGGTTAGAGGAGGAAACAAGCTGGAAGTGATGAATTGTTCTTGATGAGCCATGTTTCAGCAATTACCTGCTGGGAATATCATAGATTTCTAAAGATTCTTAAATATAAGCCTTGATTATTTACACTAACAAGATGAACCAACCTTATGAGATCAATGAAGTCTGAAATTCTATTCGGTAGGTGGCGGTATCTATGAACGACAAGGTGAACTACTTTTTGTTGAGTAGCAAAGGGTAGAGATCGGTAATGCAGAATATATTCTAAGTTTCTTTTCAGATGTTTTTAGTCAAGAAGGAGTGTCGCATCAGGGCCGGATTAAAATATTTGTATTTAAAAGTCTTCATAATACCCACCAAGGGCATCATCTGGTTTACAGATGGCTCCAGGATGGAAGAATGCGCAGGTGCTGGGGTCTATAGGCAGTCCCCAAGGGCAAATCATTACTATACCCTTCGGAAACATGCCAAGATTTTTCAGGCAGAAGTATTTGCAATACTTGCATGTGCTCCAGAGAATATCGAGAGGGGCTATCACAGCCAGGAAATCACTATATGCACTGACAGCCAGGCGGCGATCAAGGCGCTCACCTCGTATAGGGTGACCTCCGCCTTGGTGCCAGAGTGCATAGATAGCCTACAAAGGCTGTCAGCAACGAACAAAGTATGTGTTTTGTAGGTCTCTGGGCACTCAGGGGTACCAGGTAACAAAATGGCTAGAAAGGGGGCGAAGGGTTCAGTGATTGGTCCAGAGCCAATCTTGGGGGTCACTCGATCCTGGAGCAACTTCAGGATGGAGGAAATCCTGACGGAAAGGTTTCAGGACAGCTGGAGAGAGGCTCCTGGAAAGAGGCAATCCAAACTCCATATAGGAAACCCGTCACGATGCCAGACCAATGCCCTCTTGGCTTTGAACAGGAAGGAGCTGAAACTGGGTGGTAGACCTTCTGACAGGACACTGCCACTTGAACAAGCATCTCAGCACGATCGGGATTGTGGAGCATCCTGAATGCAGATGGTGCCTAGAGGATGAAGAGACTTCTACTCACATCCTCACTGAATGCCCGGCAGTAGTGGCAGCAAGGGATATCCATTTTGGGGGCAGTATCCTGGACCCAGAGGATGTTAAAAAGATTTGGCCTAGAAAGTTGGTCTCTTTTGCTCGTTGGGCCTTTTCCATGGCTGACTTGCGATCCCAGGAATGCGGGTGCACAATGGGCCCGAAAAGGGAGGCCTTAGTGCGTCAGGTCCCGGACCGCCCACACACCTACATACATACATACATACAAGTCTTCAGAATATCAAAGTTAGTGATTTTCCTGCTTTAGAAAGAAGGATATCCCTAGATTATTCAGCAATTTTCAGACAGATGGACTCGGGCAGATTCCGAGAGTATAGACGAATTGACCATATTTTGCTGAGTTTCGCTAGCGCTGCCTACGAAGCAGCCAAGAATATGACAAAATTTGGCTTCAAAATTCTACATGGAGGTGAATTATCTTGTAAGTGTAAAAAATCAAGGATATAAGACACCTTCTGAGCTTTCATTTGAATTAATATATTTAGATCTATGAATTAATGAATAGCAGAGTCCAATGAATATTTGCAGAGATATGGCCAAAAGCCAATCCGCCATCTGGATTAGCTAAACTATTGAGAGCTAACTACCACTTTGGGAAGGCAATCATTGTTTTAAAAATCCTTATTTATGTTCATATAATACTAAAGGTGTGAATCCGCGGGTGATTTCAAGGAGAAAAGTTTATATCAAAATATGTTCTTATCCTCTTAGTTTTTGAGCTACAGGGTGTTCAAATTTCAAGAAAAAAGTGAAGATACTTTTATGAAATGTACACACTTTTTCCTCATAA